GAATTACTAACCAGCATAACTGAATAATCAGATAAGGGACATTTTGCTATGTCTGCTGGGTGGCTAAAGTCTGATCCTCAGAGCCTATGGTTTGGTCGGTCAGCAACGCTTGGGCCCACAGGGACTTGAACTCCTGACCGGGTCTGCATGGTCTGCATCAGATTCCCCCTTATTTATTATTTGTTTAAGGGTATAATAATAGATTTTTTTTGTTTAATTGCCGCCATGTCAGTTTTGACTCATAGCAACCCTATATATGGTTTCTGAGGAGAAGCTACTGAGTTTGAACTGTTGACCTTGTGGTCTGAAGTCCAGTGCTGATCCTACAGTGCCACACCAGGAGTCCGTAACTATTGTAGAAAACGCTAAAACACCTTTTTTTGATGACGTACAGAACTAGAAAGAAACTCAACAAAGATACAGAAGAACTAAAAAATAACATAATAATTAACTTGATCTCATAGATTATATGGAGCACTCCATTCAGTAACATTCTTTCCCAGTGCATTCAGAATATTCTTTAGAACACACCAAATTGCCAGGCCACAAAGCAAGTCTCAATTAAGTCTTTGAAAACTGAATCAATACAAAGCATCATTTCAGATCACAGCACTTCAAAATTAAAAATCTACACTATGAAGACCAAAGGGTGGGTGTGGAGGGGGACAAAATACATGAAAAATGAATAAAACTCTGCTTAAAAACCACTGTGTATAGACAAAAATTTAATGAACTAAAACTCCATGTGTCAAATGAGAACAAAAACACAACATACCAAAATCTTTGGAACACAACAAAAGCAGTGGTCAGGGGCAATTTTAAGCAATAAATACATAAAGAGAAAAGAACCAAAATCAGAACCTGAATTCAACATCTGCAACAATTACCAAAAGAGTTGCAAAAGAAGCCTACAGCCACCAGAAGAAAAGAAGCAATAAAGATTAGAGTAGAAATCAATGAAATAGAAAAACAACAGAAAGAATCAACAAAACAGTTAAGATTAAATCAACAAATCACTAGCAAATCTAACACAAGATGAAGTTAACATGAATAAGAAAATCTGTGACAAGGCAACAGAACCAAGAAAATAAAAAGGATAATAACAGAATACAATGATGAACCGTATTACAACAAATTCAAAAATCCACAAGAAAAGGAAAAATGTCTGAAATACACAACCTACCTAAACCAACATAGACTGAAGGAGAAAAACACACCTATAAAAAGAGAAGAAATTGATCAGGTTACTAAGAAATTCACACACACACAAAAGTGTCCACCTCAGACCATGGAAGTCTACCAAACATGCAAAGAAGTGACATGAATTCTACTCAAACCATTCCAAAACATAGAAAAACGTTGGAAAACTCTAGAATTCATTTTATGAAGTTACCATAACTCTGATAACAAAATCAAGCAAAGACAGATATCACTGAAAATAAAAGGTTTTCACAGTAAAAGAAGCATTCTTTTGACCGTTACCAAGGGTTGGGTTACTGGTAAGAAAGTGTTGTTGTTGTTGTTGTTGTTATTAAATGTCACCAAGTCAGGTCAGACTCATAGAGACCCTGTATAGGGTTTCTGAGGGGAGTGTTAACTTTAATGAAGAGTCAAGTAATTTGTAAGAGAGCAGTTAGCATAAAAATGATGAACACTGTAAAGACATGAGGAAGAGTGCAAGAGTTAAAGGGAATAGAGTTAAATACCTGTAAATATACATAATCCTAAAATAAAAGTGATCTATGGAGAGACATGAGTACACAGGTTGGAAAACAGCTAACACTAAGAACATTAGCACATTGGCAACTGAAAAGAGACAACAAACTAACATATTTTTCACCTTCTCAAATTTCAAATAAGTAGGGTTATATTTTCAAAAATATAAAGACTCATTAATAAAGAGGTGGCCCATATTTAATCTCTTGGATGTTATTTACTGAACTCTTATTTTAGAAAAATTTACTTTATAAAATTGAACTTGAAATCAAAGAAATTCCTCCAAAAAAATGTAACTTTATATACTTAACATGCGAATTCCGATCATGGCATATCTTCTGTCTTGTGTTAAACGAGAAGACTACAGCACAATACAAGAAGGCAGGAAGAAACAAAATTCATAGTATAGAAATTTCAACCTAGAAGGAACTTTTGAGATTTTATCATCTAATCAGGTTCCTCGTCTCTGAACAGAGCAAATGCCAGGCAACATAGACACCACACTGAAATTTCCAGAACTTCAATTTGCAAACTGTCTTTTAACAGAAGTAACTTTACAGATAGCCAACAGGAAAGACTTCTAAAAAAGCATAAAGTAAAACCAAGACAAAATTGATGATTATCAATTTTCTTTTAACATTTAAGTAATAATAAATGTTCTTTCAAGTTATGATTCAATAGCACATTGGTAGCTGTGAGAGATAATACATGTGTACTTTGTAAATTATAGAACAAAGGCAGAATTAAGCTAGTGTATTCTGACTTCTCCTCTTTTTGATAAAAAAGATAATTATTCTACCTGGCCAGATCCATGCAGCTATCAGTGAGGTTGGTAGAAGAATTGAAGTACTCTCTGCTAGCAGCCAAAACCAAGTCAATACTTTTTTCGTAACTGACCCTGTACTGGGTTTTCCCTTTATGGGTTATACTTGCTGGTGGATTTATCGAGGAAGCAGTGCACTGCATCATCTGCCCAGCCAAGTGGATGTTTGCAAGGTGACTAGAGCACAGAAGGCTTTCAGCAAATATCTGCGGAAAGAAGAAAATAGAATTAGTGCTTAAAGAGAGGTGATTTGGTTTTCAATAAAACAAAGCCTCTCAAATGAAATAAAATATGTAAAAATAAATTTTAAAAAATCATTATTCTCAAATTATATTCCTATAGATTTGCCTATTTTCTAAAAATTACTTGTAATCCCAAAATCAATGTGTACAGTGCTTTCAAAGCCAATTGAAAACGTGCTTAATGTGGCAAAAATTCCTGAACATTCCAACTCAGGTTTAAACAAGGCACCAGACTGCCTTCTTGTTTCAGCTTTGTGCTATAAACAAGTATCCTTTTCAGGGTCTCTTTACTTCCACACTTTTCACATTTTTGTCCTTTCTGAATGTGATTTTTTTTTATTAAAATGGTCCACAAGTATAGTGCTAAAGTACTGTGTACTGTCCCGTAAATTAAAGGTGGCTGTGGTACATCTTACAAAAAATATATATATGTGCTAAATAAACTTCATTCAGTCATGAATTATAGTGCTGTCTCCATGAGTTCAGTGTTAATGAATCAACAATATACAGTATATTAAATACGATTTCTTTAAACAGAAATACGTATAAAATAAGATTATTTATTGATCTGTATATAAAAAAGCTGTGGCCACAGGCTAGCAGGAACCTAGTCCTTTCTTTTCCCTGGAGGAATGTTCCATAATCTGTAATTCACTGTTCCTGGAGACTTAATAGAATATAGCTGCCATAAACAACAAGGATCTATTCCTCTAGAAGTGTTGACTGCACAACACTGGGAGAGTACTAAATGCCACATACTTCAGAATGGTAAATTCAAAGTTATGTGAATTTTACCTAAATTTAAAGATATATATAAACAACCATACTTCTAGAAGGAGACAAATCATCTCACTCAAAGCCAACAAAAATAAACATAATATTTTAATGTTTTACAATGGATATTTGAATCAACTTCATATTCATTAATAAACATGCTCCATTAGATGTATTGTCATTGTTGAACATCTATAGAACCATGTCATTGCAAGACATTGTTGTTGTTGTTAAGTGCACTGCAAGATAGCTAATAGATATTTAAAATAAAAATTTTGAATACGATTCATATAAGTCTTACCTGTTTAAAGCATATGAATTTAATTTAATGAATTAATTGACAAGTTACAAAAGTTATAATTATACATAACCATTAAAACCACAATATACCATGTACCATTGGGCTTTTCTCCAGCATGCAAATTAAAAACTCAATACATAAAATGAATCATTGAGTAAAGACTCAGGCAAAGGATCACTGAATTCTACTATACAACTAATAGTGTCAATTAACAACAACAAAAATTCTAAAATTGAAATTTATATTACCCAGGAAAGTAAACAGTGGTTCTTTAAAACTTACAGTAGTATTGATATACAATTATCAAGAGAACTCCCCCCAAGAATGCCCTTTCCATAAATCCAATGTCTGATGGCAATGAAGAGAGCACAGAAATAAGAAAAATCTATGATAAAAATATTTCATGGAGAAGCATGTTTTGTTATAATTAAGATCATCCAATTATTATAAGATCTCCTTCTTTTTAATTATTTTGTGTCTAGAATTCCTGGGAAATGTATTCTTAAACAGGTCTTACTTGAACTATCTGATGAGGGCCAGCTACAAAATAGATATTGTGAGAGAGCAAATTACCAATGAGTAATCCTAATGACAGATGGAAATGGCTTGCTTCAATTCTAACACAAACATATGACAGTTTTCTACTACTATGGTTTATTCAAGTAAGTCATAAATGGGCAATGTCTAATTAGAAAATCCAATTCACTCAGCTTAAAAGGTTTTGCTAAAATGAACAACATAGATTTTTCTTCTACAATCAGCACAGAAATCTTTAGCTCACATTTTCAAAACTGTGCTATTGAGCTTTCAAATTATTTTACAAGGACAACAAAACCTAATGGTCAAAAGCCATTATGACAACACAGCATAATTCAAAATGGACTTAAAGCAATATTTAAAATATTAAGGTAGTTAAAATTTATTTATCATCCTCTAGAACTCTTTCAAAATGTTATAATAGGTTTCAAATGATTGCTCCAAAAAGACAGTGATGTCCAGAAGTCATTAGTGTATCAAAACCTATTTTAAAAAACTGTAAAGAATTTTTAATATGCTAGGTTGTTAGAATAGCATACTTAACACAGGAGCAAGTTTAAGTACATACTATTCTTAATGTCAATTTTTAGTAAGATCATAAACAAAAATATAATGCCATTCCAACTGAAAAACATAACTTCATACATGTTAAAAAAAAAAAAAAACAGTTTTGTTTTGGAGCTCATGTGTCTACAGATTATTTTCTCTTGAAAATGGAATTTCAAATGTCACTTTAGCTGTAAGAGAGTAACTGTCAAAACTTTACACTCATTCAAGTATTTTAAAAACTAAATTCAAATATAAAATTATTCATTTCTTGTGATGGTTAAGGTTTTGTGACAACTTGAATAGGCTAGGATTCTTAGTGGTTTGGCAGTTATGACAGTACTAATCCATGATGAGAGCTGCTGTGAGCAGACAAAAATTTAAAGGAAATGTCCTAGGAACTGTGGTCTGCTTCCAATATAATCACTTGGGCAAAACTTG